CATCTGATGGGACGGATTGGGCTGGGGAAGCCTATCTCTGTGTAAGGGCCTCTGAAGCTGGGTGTTGGGGGAGACGTCGCTGTTTCTGAAGCTTTTCCAACCCCAGTCTCTTCTCTGTGGCGGGTAATCAATGTGGACCCACAGGAGCCCAGCCACAGTCAGGTTTCCTCGCCTCACTGGGAAAGGGAGGACATCAGGATGGGGAGGAACAAAGTGTATGACGGCCAACAAGGAATGAATGGCCTCCCAGATAGTCCCTTCGTAACTCTGCTTTTGAATTTTTATGGCACGAAGTCTCAGAAAGATCTTAGTGAGAAAACTCTGGGTGATTTGATAGTTCATTCCTTGGCAATTTGAGAATCAATATTTCTGACTGGTGAGTTTCTTACAGATATAATAATAAACTCTATGCAGCAGAATATTTCAATGAAAAAGGGTGGTTGCCAGCCTCAGGAGTGCATGAAGCTGCCTGAGATTCTAGGAGCCCCTTTCCTTTGTGCCAAGTCAAAGGCCTTAGATCAACCCCGGCCGGTGTGGCCCAGTGGTTGAGTGTCCACCCATGAACTAGGAGGTCACGGTTCAATTCCCGGTCAGGGCACATGCCAGGGTTGCGGGCTTGATTGATCCCCAGTAGGGGTGTGCAGGATGTAGCCAATCAATGATTCTTCCTCAACATTGATATTTCTAACTCTCTCTCTGAAATCAGTAAAAACACGCATATATATTTTTATAAGGCCTTAGATTACAAAACACAAGGCACTTTCTACACAAAACAAAATGGCAATTTAGTATTAACTGACCAACAATTTTTGCTTTTTTATTACTAATATACTTGGGGGATGATGATATTTCCAAAAAAAGGAAGTATAACAATATGGTTCCGCCCTTGCACTGAATCTACCCCTTACCAGGTGGGGACTCTGGATGAAAAACTTGACCTCTCCCTCCTCAGTTCCCTCCTAGGGATGATGCAGGGATAATGCTCCCTGTGATGGTGGATTGTAAAAATTACATGAGAAAAATGTTTGCAAAGTAGTTGCCACAGTGTCTGCCAGAGGTATAAAATAATAATTATTATTATAGGCATTTCAAGCCCCTAGCACAGGAAACTTGAGCTGAGAAAGACCCAATTTCTGCTAATTCCATGGTCATAACTTCAAGGCTGCCTCAACATACAATGCTTTTTCAATTAATAATTAATTGTACTCTTTAGAAATAGGTCAGGTAAATAGGTAAAATGCATTCTCACTAATTATTAATTTAATTTAAAATTTCAGTGAGTGAAGCCTTTGGCCCAATCATTTTCTCTGCCAGATTGCCTCAAAAAAGGAAAGGAAATGGCTATTTCATTTGTGGAAGAATCTTTAAGTGTAGATGGTGCTAGGGTCTGGTGAGGGCCTCGTTCTCCAGAGGGGTATGTCAGCAAGGACTAAGATCTAGGCAAGCACAGTGGCTCTTGACCACAGTAGTGGGCACAAGCTCTCACATGTGACTGACTTTGCTCAGTTGGACAAACCAACCTCACTTTGGTGTTATAATTCATCTGTCTATAAATAAGGCTTAAAAAACGTTAGAATGGAAGACATAAACAAATGGAATAACATACCATGTTCATGGATTGGTAGAATCAACATCATTAAAATGTCCATACTACCCAAAGCAATCTATAGATTCAATGCAATCCCCATTAAAATACCAATGGCATACTTCAAAGATCTAGAAGAAACTCTTCTAAAAATTCATCTGGAATGGCTGCAGCAATCCTGAGAAAGAACAAAGTTGGAGGGATCACAATACCAGATATCAAGCTATATTACCAAGCTACCATTCTCAAAA